CCGTTGTTCTTACTTTTGTAACTGCTCCAAAAATCCAAATTCACAGTAATTTTGATGGCTGTTAAGAATTATTTTTCTTCACATTATCTGCCAGGTTTTTTTAGCTGTCCCACTGTGTAAAATCCTAGAATCTCGATGAGTTTTTAAAAGTGTTCATCTCTACAATGTTTTGATTTTTCATTCATCCAGTCCAGGCGAGTCGGTTCACGCGTTGACAGTTCTGATAGACATGTGACATGTGAATAGCGGAACTCCCTTGTCTTTTCTGGTTTGTTCTAACAAGATTCAAAGGGATTTTGTGGGCGTTTTTTAATAAAATAATTATTATTCCACTTGCGCTTGTTGGATGAGATGATTATAATTGCCAACTCGGCGCTATGCGTCTCGTTGGCTATTTACCATCTCATATCCAACGTGCCCTCGTGAAATAATTGTTAATTATAAAATAACTAAGATAGTACGTGCATTCTGATTGGTTAAAAACCAATAGTTTATTGTGCCGGTAAAATCATAGAAAACTGAAACATGCTTTAAAGTTATTTTATAAAAGTAAAAGACCACATTTTCTAAGGGTTTGCTGGTGTAATAACCCACTTGGGATGTTGGGAGAAGACTGGAAAAGCTTGTAAACCACCAGCTTAACATCTCAGATCTCTGGGCCTCATGCCCCAAACCCCCCTTAGATACGGTACTCTCGCTTTACCAGCACTTGGTGTCAGGCACCAGTTACTTTACATTGGGAGCTGGCTACTCTAACACTTCTGGAGAACATTGAACAATAGAAATATATAAGAACCAATGAGCCTCAGGTGTCACAATCTGCTTGCTTATCTCCTTAGCCATGGAAGAACATGAAAGTCAGGTCCTCCAGGTTGAATGTAGCATGGAATGCTCTCTGCTTGGTGAACAAGAGCAAAGTCAATCAGCAGGTACAGATATAGTTCATGGTAGATGGTATTTATTATAAAACTTAATAATATACATGGAAAAATTTCTTGAATGAGATTGGCTTAGAGCAGTGCAGTTTTTAGTAAACAGTACAGTAAAAAACAAGGAAACATAATGCAAAAATAAGGAAATAAAGTGCAAATTTCTCAGAGAATGAAAACCTGTGAACAATCAGTGTTCTCCAGAAGCGCAGGCGACTGGTGGTTTCGCTGGCTACTCTTATGACTCAAAACAGTAAAAAAACCTGTCTGTACCTTTTATCTTGAATTTTTCAGAAGGTCCTAAAAGAAACAAAAACAATAACTTGTCGTACAAAAAGCTCTTTGGTGTATGACAATTTGCCTTTTGCTAATGGTATTATCGATATATTTACTGAATGATTTTTGATGAGACATTGCCAGATAATATTTTTAATTATAAAATATCTAAGACAGTACATGCATTCTGATTGGTTAAAAACCAATAGTTTATTGTGCTGGTAATCTCATAGTAAACTGAAACATGCTTTAAAGTTATTTTATAAAAGTAAAAGACCACATTTTCTATGGATTTACCAGCATGATAACTCACTTGGTTCTTGGGAGAACTCTGGAAAAGCTTATAAATCATGAGCAAAACTTCTCAGATCTCTGGGCTTAATGTCCCCAAACCCCTCCCTTAGATACAGTACTCTCGCTTTATCAGTGCTTGGTGTCAGGCACCAGTTTCTTTGCTTTGGGAGCTGGCTACTCTAAAACTTCTGGATAACACTGAACAATAGAAATATATAAGAACCAATCAGCCTCAGGTGTCACAATCTGCTTGCCCAACTTATTAAGATTATATCTTATCTTCTTAGCCATAGAAGAACATGAAAGTGAAGTCCTCCAACTTGAATGTAGCATGGAAAGCTCTCTGCCAGGTGAACAAGAGCAAAATCATTCAGCAGGTACTGATATACCGGTAGTTGTTTATGGTAGATGGTATTTTATTATGAAAGTTAATAATATACATGAAAAAAATTTCTCTGTGAATTTGATTGGCTTAGAGCAGTGTACTTTTTAGTAAACACAATGCAAAAACAAGGAAACATAATGCAAAAAGAAAGAAATATAATGCAATTTTATCAGAGAATGAAAAACTGTGATTGGGCTAATAAACAATAGAAATTTATCAGAACTAATTAAGTGCCACAATTTGCTGGTGGGAAGCATGTATACTTTTAAAACTTCCCCCTTTTTGGTGTAATTAATTATGCTCTGTTGTCTTACCTAAGTAATCTTTCCTTTTTCTTGTAACACTTTTTTTGTCAATGTTTTATTTTATGAATTTACCTGATTATTTTTATTTATTTATTCATTGTGAGTTTTTTTTTTCATTTTTGTACCCAAGATTTTGAAATTAATAAAGGTGTGGGTGGGCGTGTGTGTGTAACAAATAAGAATGTTAAAACTTTCATATATATATTTTTTACATGGACTCAAAAGAGCAGCTATATAATCAGTGATTTTGTTACCTCTGCATTCTATCTATGTTCCTGACACATAAAAATCGCCAAAGACATAAAATAAT